TATACAGTCTATGAACATTGATTGAACGTATTCTCTTAGGAGATGAAAATTTTCGTTAGTACCCTAAGACTCGTCAAGCCAACTTTATGTCAACTAAAACTATGCAACATCCGAAGTGGGGTTAGAATTGAGATTTATTCTGAAGTTAAAAGGTTTTCGGACATGTTTATCTAAATTCACTTTTTTCAGATACCGCTGACTTGACTTACTGATTGCAGTATTTTTGTCAATTTAGTGTAGGCCAGGCAGAAAATATGCTTCGCCAGTAGAGGTGACTATGTTTCTAAATGTTTACTCGCATGGAAACGTGTGTGGGGACTGACACTTGAATCTAAAACGAGCAAACTGTTAGGATGGCATATATACTCTTGGACAACCTCTTTTCATGCGATAGAAGTAATGCCACTTAGGTTCCGATGCTGGTTACTATCATGAATAATAGACAAGATGACCAGGTTGCAAATCACTTCTCTAAAATGAAAGGGGACCGCGACAACTTGATTTTCACATTTTGGGTTTAACTATGAACAATAAGGTTGCGAGCAAACAATATAATGACATTTCCGTAAATATGAAAACCAAGATGGTGTGGCCATTTGTTTGGTCCCCTTAAGCTGTATAGTGTTGGTTTGGCCTCGTTTTTGCTACCTGGTCGGAGTGATACGGAGACCTTGTGGAACGTATCCAGCTCTGCTACTTCCGCTCTCGAGTATTCATGATAATTTCCAGCATCGGACTGTTGACTTAATACATTCCCAGACGCTTTGCCAGCATCGTTAGTGGGAGTCGCCATTCTTAGCACAGCTCTACAATTCATCAACGTGACAAGAACGACATTTTGCCAGGATTTTCCTCAAAATTGACAGTACAAAACTCATTTTGTATTTGCAATTTAAACTCCTTTTTTATATTTCCATTGTGTTCAGATATTCATGTGGAAAGCAATCACATTCTTTGAATACAATGATTATAAGTATTTATTAAGAAACCTTGCAAGGCCTGTTTACACTTTGAAATTTTGTACAGCCGATCTTCGGAAACGTGAGTCTGTCTTTATCTCTTTAATCCTCACTGGATAATCATTTTTTCCCAATACTCCCGTGCTTACGCCTCGCCTACGCCTTGTTGCTAGCCCATAAAGATTAGAATTCGTGTTTTGAAGGTTTATAGGAAGTATCAAGGAGAGAAAAGTGCCTTATTTTTAAAATCCCCTAACCCTGTAATCTGATTCTTCTAAATTTGTTCATTCCCAAGCGACTTCTTGACCCACACTTTCTGACGCGTGCGAGTGAGATTTGTCGAGGTTGATATCGTAGCCTGCTTTTATAGAACATCCTGTTTATTGCTCATGTCATAGCAAATTGCTCCATAAAATTAAGCCTTTTTTTCATTTTCTAACCATCCGTTTTGAAGCATCAATTATTTGAAAACGAATTTCCTTTCTAAACGAAATTGTTCCATAGCTTAGACCAGTGATTCCTAAATTGTGCCGCGGCCTCGTTGCAGGGGTGCCGCCAAATATCGTGCGTGTCCAGTTTAATTCCACGATTTGAGAAAATGTGCAGTGATTTGCAGGCCCATCCATCAAATTACTTATATAACATTAATTAAATGTTAATAAAGTGAAAAAAAATTAATGAAGATACACGAGTTTTATTTATTTTTAGCTCTTACTTACGAATAGTCATACTGAGGGTGGGGTGCCATGGAAAAATTTTAATTGTAAAAGGGCGCCGTGACTAGGAAAAGTTTGGAAACCACTGGCTTAAACATTACTTTTAGAATAACAATATCCCCTTTTTATGTCATTGACTTTATTTCGATTTCTTCAGTTCAATATCATTTTAAGCATTTTAACAAAGTGAATATAGTTATTCATATCATCTTATTTAATCTTGCGATAAGTACAACTTACGGGATTGTAAAAATTTTTTTCTGAAAAACCTGAGGCTAGTTGGAAGGGTCGTTATAAGGTCCGTAATTGGTGTTTTTCTTCGATTATGGCGCTATAAAGAATCTTGTTCGATCCCTGGAGCAGACATTTTCCTAATGCTATTACTTATTATCACATGATGTAACTTTATTTTCATATTTACAATAAATCACTAAAGTTGATGGCCTTAAAGCTTGGGGGCAAGATTGATTACTTTAGATGGGTGTGGCTGGTTATTTTGATAGAGTACATTTTCTGAGATTTTTCTAGGATTATCCTTGAGGTGCGAACTGCTTTAATAATAAATTCATACAATGGCAGAGACGGTGATATAGGATAGGTTCTCCGCAGTCCTCCTTTGGCCATTGCAATTGTATGTGTATGCAAGTGTTGCTCCAACTTGCATGGCCATCGTTTAATATGAAAAAATAATGACAAAGGCGTGATAAAATATGTTATTTGCAGAACTTCCTCCGTTACACTATACCAACCGTATCAATGGAATTATTGATGGATGTAACTGACGCCCTTTCAACTCGTGTCTCTGCCAATCCCGAATTACTGATCACAACGGATACATATATTAATTAAACATTCTATGCTTCATTTGCCATTAAGGTGATAATGGCACTGGTAGTTAAATTTTTCCCACAATGATATGGGTAGACCCTACATTTCCATTCAATTTCACACAGCCTTGCTTTCCCCAAAGTTATTCTCATCCAGGGTGAGCTGTAGTTTTGATCTCGCCTTGGTTTTATCAATACCCCTGGCGGAACTCGAACCATCACGGTGCAGTGTATAATCTCTACTTGTTAACCGTTACGCCATATTACCACGAGTGTCCTTGGACCGCAGGGCATATGTGAATTTCAAGAAAGGCCAGACATTTTCCCATATCACATCCTATGATAAGATTATCGATGAAGCAAAGTTGTATTTGCTACAGTAATCGACTACGTTACTCATGTTTCGTTTATAAGAAGTTTTTCGGGACTACAAATAGGTCATTGTTCGAGTCCAGTTGGGGGTGTTGATAAGACCTAGGCGAGGCCGAAACTGCAGTCCACCTGGATGAGACTACCTTCTGGGCAAACGAGGCTATGTGAAATTCAATGGAATTGTTAGGTCTACTCATAGCAATGTGGGAAAAATTCAACTACCAGTCCTATTTTCACCTTGTACAAAAGAGGGTGAATACATTTCATATGCAAGAGACCAACAGATAGTCTCTCAAACTTACTTATAAACGAAATATTCGCCATTGTTTGAATGCATGGAATCACTTTTACTTTAACTTTGCTATCCTTATAAGCCAAACACTGCTGGGCCAAGCCTGATCCATCTTTCGTCGGGCCTGATATTTTACCTTAATAACTGGCAGTTTTTCACAATGCTATACTTAGGCCTTATGATGCCATTAAAGTTCACTTAGCCTCTCCTCACATGAGGCTCTTTCACACACAGTGGACTGCATGCTCGGCATTGCTTAGGACTTATATGTACCACAAGCGAGATTTGACACTGGATTGTGATTATCTTGGCAACGTCACTACTCTGCTATACAATAACGGATGCCACTAGGTTACACACATGCCAGTTCTCGCTATTTACACTTATTGTTGGCCTATCGATGATGCAAACATCTATTTAACCTTTTATTCAATGACTACCTATTTTCGCCGGAAGTTTGTTTCGGGGCTATTAATGTTTCCTAAATAAGAATCCGCATCGAAAATAAGTAACTTCTTCGCTCTACATTGCATACACATGTTTGCTTTATCGACAACCTCATTACAAATATTCCGTGGGTGAAGCCTGACTTGCAATGAATGCCACATCCGCCCGATGAAACTATGGCATCCGTTGCTGTATAAAGGACGGGTAATGTCCTAACGATGCTCACTGCTTAGTGTCGAATCCCGTCGGAGGTTCGAATGAATCCTAAGCGAGGTTGAATCTGCAGTCTAGCTTGAATGAGAGTACCTTTTGGGGAGCAGGGCCAAGTGAAATTTCATTGCATCGTAAGACTTACTTGTATTATTCATAAATTAGTCATATTCTAGAAACTTACTATCATCGGAAATATATGTAAGTTAAGCTATATATTCGAACGTATAAAGATCACGATGGTGTGGGCTTTTGTATAGTCACGGTCTCCTTTTTTTTGTATAGAAGTTGTTTGACCTTGCTTTCGCAACTTGGTCATATTGGCAGGAAGACCTAGAGGTACGCACCTAGTCCGGAGTTCATAGCATGCTTGATAATTTCCAGAGTCGGACCGTGGACTTGGTACATTCTGAGTAATTTGCCGGCATCGTAGACAAGAGTCACTGACGATGCCGACGAAGCATCTGGAAATGTACTATGTCCACGGTCCGACTGGAAATTATCAAGTATACTATGGACTCCGGACAAGGTGAGTTCCTCTAGGTCTCCCTGCCAATATGACCAAGTTGCGAAAGCAAGGTCAAACAAATTCCATACAACGAAAGGAGACCGCGATCATACAAATGTTATAACATTCTGGTCTTCATATCTATGGTATTATAATTTATCAAAATTTCCTCCTATGCTCCCTACATCTTTGCAAATAATATATCATGCATTTTGGTAAAATATAGGTTAAAATACAAATAAATTATACTCTACTTTTTTTCTATCTCTTCCAGTTTCGGATGGGCCCTCTACACAGCCGAATGATGAATTGCCGGGCAACCAGGCAAATGGCCTTGCTGCCTCTGGTACCAAAGGCTCCAATCAAAGTGTCTACTTGAGTCTTTGGGATGAGAGAAAAGCAGCCGGTGATAAGAGTAAGCTAAATCTTGTATCAACATCCGCTGACCCTTATTGCTAATTTATGTAATTGTACAAAGGCTTATTAGTTCTGAAAGTTAATTTCATATATGAGCTAATTTTGGGTTCATACATAATTTATGTGCCTCATCCTGGTTACTTTTCCTCAATACTCGACAATGATACCTTTAAATGGCCCGAATAAGGAATCTATGGGTAATAAAAACTAATTTACCCCATCACAATGTGAAATGGGAAAATGTCTGATCTTCCTTAAAATTCATATTTGCCCGTGACCCAAAGGCTTTCGTGACGATGTTGTGTAATGTTTAAAATGTTGAGATTATGCTTTGCATTG